TCTTAACACTTAACTTCTCTTGGCTCTGTTCCCCAGCTGCACAATAATATTATCATAATAGCAGTTAATATTTATGGAATGTTTTCTATGTACTAGGCACTGTGTAAGCATTTTACATGTATTAACTCATAATGGGAATAATAAAACCTACTTCTGAGAAGGTTAATCTGAGGACCAAGTCAGGTAATGAAGGTGAATGTGCTTTGTAAACTCTGCAAAATGTCAAGGATGACTGTTTTCTTCTAATCTAGAGCCTGCACTGGTATCAAGTATCAACCAGCACTCCCACCCTACCCACCAGATTAATGTTCCCTGTCATCCCCCATCCATCACTCCAGACTTTTTCTTTGGAGCACTAGCTACTATTTTAAGGAAATAATTATTTCTGTGATTAAAGTTTAATATTTGTCTCCCTGATTAGATGACAGACAAATCTTTTTCAACACTATATCTCCAGGCACTAGCATGGAGTAAGTTTTCAGTTAACAATTGTTAAAAATCAATGAATTAAAATGCCCATACAATGGAATAAGTGATGTGGAATAATCTCCAAAATACATTGATAAGTGAGAAAAGCAAGTATGCAGCCACTTCTGTTAAAGAAAAAAAGGAGGCATATGCATGTTCAGGCTCTGTATCTCAGGAAGGTAACAGTGATTGCCTCTAGATAACACAGTGGAAGGGACACTGACTTTTAGACCCTTTAGTACAGTTTGAAAAAATTTTTTTCTTTAAAGATGAAAAAACAGTTTGTATGTAAAATAATACCATAATTAATAAATACTAATATAAGAATAAACTGTGTACTCATAACTGTAAACCTACTTTTGCCCTAGCCTGTATCAAACACTCAACAACAAATTCATTTTTTAAACTGTTCAACCTTCAAGAACAAAAATGAATGAAACTAATCCCAACCCTCCAATCGGGTATCTGAGTCCCTTCAATTTTCTTTTCCACTGCTCCAGCATAAATCTTCCTTCTAGCTAAGCAGGGCTCCTGACTGCCTTAAGGACATGTGTTAACATGTACAAGAACTCACACCATTTCTCTCTCCAAAGTTAATCCTCCTGTGATAGACAGAATGGTCCCCCAAAGATGTCCATTCACTTCCTAAACTCTAGAACCTGTGAATATGGTAGGTTACATGACAGAGGAATTAGGATTGCAGATGAAATGAAGGTTGTTAATTAGCTGACTTTTTTAAAAAGGGAAATTATCGTAGATTGTCTGGGTAGGCCCAATATAACCACAGGGTTCTAAAAGTAGAAGAGGGGAGCCAGAGAGGGAGATGGGATGACAAAAACAAGGAGAAAGTGATGTGTTGTGATGACTGAACCAGCCATTGCTGCTTTGAAGATGGAGGAGGAAGGGAACCATGAAGACGAGGAAATGGAGTCTCCTCTACAATCTCCAGAAAGAAATGAAGCCCTGCTGGCATCTAGATTTTAGCCCAGTGAGACCTGTGTCTGACTACAGAACTATAAGATAATTTGTGTTTAAACCACTCCATTTGTAGTAATTTGTTAGGGCACCAAATAGAAAACTGATTTTCTCTCTAGTGAGTCCCTACAGCACCTATTTCGATGAATCATGTGTAGCACTTGATGACTCATTCATTAAACAATTACTTAAAGTCTGCAATGGGCCAAGGCCTGTGCTAGACCCTAGGGATGGTCTGCCTGAATGGTGCTTATGTGAAACCGTGAGGTGTTTGGATTTGACCCTATTCGGTAGCACTGTGCTAATCAGTGAGAACGCAAAAAATGTAAATCATAGTCCTTCCCTGGAAGAGCTCAGCCAACCCATGGAAACCTCTGTAAACTGTATTCCAAAACAAAAATATGCTGTAACAGGAGTAACAGGTGCTGTGACAGCTGCAACAGGTACTGCCAGAACACAGAAGAGCATCTAACCTAATCTTCAGGGAGTTAAAGCCTTCCTGGAAAGTATGCTGAAGAATGAAGGAAAAGTCACAATTAGTTTCCCACAAGAGGTCCAAAATAGCATCAGCTTGCACAAGAATATTTATTTTAACAGTTGTTTATAAATATATCCCATTTGGAGGCCACTACACTGTTACTTCTTACATATTATTGCTTAGATTGGTTCTAAAACAGGTTTCTTTGAATATTAAAACTGAATTTAAAGAACAATGTTAAGTAAATTGTAATTCAGGATATATAGTACTGATATGACGTGTACAAAATTACTGACATTAGAGAAAACGTGAGCTAAGGTAAGTGGATGGGCAAGGTGGACATAATAAAGATAACCAGGAAGCTCTGGGCTTGGGACAGGGCTGAGTATGATCAACGGTCTGGTGCGCCTGGCTAAAGTCTTGGACATCAGGCTGAGGGCAATGGGAGGCCACTGCATTTATCTGCCCTAGAATGTAAGTATCTTGAGCAGGGCATGTGTGTGTGCTAGCCTCACTGCTTAGAAAGATGCTACTGGCATAGGATAAAGTCCAAACACCTCACAATAGCACCTAAAGACTCTTCAGTAGGCTCCAACTGACTTCGTCTCCTGCCAAGCATGGCGTCCAACCCTGTTTCTCAAATATGCACCTTCTTTCACATCACATCTGTACCTTTTTTTTTCTTCATGCTCCCCCACTCCACCCCATCCACCCCCATTCACAATACAGACCAGGCAAAGGGGCTGGGTGGAGGTGCATATGGGGAGGGAGGTACTCTGCTGCCTCTTTCAGTAGTCAGTGTAAGAACACAGCCTGTGATAAGTGCTAGGAGGTCACACAACTGTACCTTTGCCTCATGACTCCTGCACAGTAACTTCTGGTCACACTCCTCCATGCTACTCAATAATTAACCACTGAACTCCTACTCTAGCCCTTTGCATTCATTCATGGCCCAGTAGGAACCATTACTTCCAGCATGAATAAAGCCTTTCTCTACTTCCAGGTGTTTGTCACTTCTTCTGCACGACTCTTAAAGCACTTACCACATACTAGTCAGTTTACTGGAGTCCAACTCTATCCCACGTTAAGCTTTCCGCCCCCCAAATCTGTTTTTATTGATTTTAGAAAGGAAGGGGGGAAGAAACATCGATGTGAGTGATAAACATTGATCAGCTGCCTCCCTGCCTTCTGTACTCACTGAACTGGCTACCTGGGCATGTGCCCCGATCTGGAATCAAACCAGCAAACCTTTCTGTGCACAGGATGACACTCAACCAACTGAGCAATACCAGCCAGGGCTATCCCACCTTAAGCTTTTTGAGGGTAGGCTGGTTTCTTACTCATCTTTATGTTATCTGTACCCAGTATAGCACTGGGCTTCAGAGCAGCAGAAAGAACACAGCCTGCCTTCCTAGGTGAAAGCTTTGGTCAAAGATGTACTCTGACCCTCAGTTTGTCCCCTTTTTACAAACTGAACTGATTTTCATTTTGTAAAAAGTGGACAGAGTCACATAAAGCCTGAATTCACTTGTCTTGCNTTCAACACAGAGATCTCAGATGTACTCTGACCCTCAGTTTGTCCCCTTTTTACAAACTGAACTGATTTTCATTTTGTAAAAAGTGGACAGAGTCACATAAAGCCTGAATTCACTTGTCTTGCCCCAAATTCTAGCAACACTGGACCTTTATTTCCACATGGCAACCCTCGGCTGGAGTTGATTAGATAGTGCTGCTCTCCATGTTGCCCCTTGCACGCTTCTGTTGTCGCCAGCACAGAGACCTGGTGTTGGTTCTTAATTTCTTCCTTCTCGTTCCTTATAGTAAAATTAAAAATAAACTTTCTTCCATTGGGTTGTTTCACCTGAGCCCTGAATGCATTTGAGTTTCTAACCCTCTGAGCCTGTTTTCTCATCTGCTAAATGGGAGAAATAACATTTATCTATAATTCTCTGTATGTGGGGTAAAGAATTGTACAGACTAGAGAATGCTGCTTATGATGCGACACTGAAAGTGTTTGAAAAACGGTTGTCAATCTCAAGAACTCAATAATTATTTAAAAACCAAATGAATGAATGAACAAACGAACGAACGAAGGGAACTAACCAACAACTGACCGAGTTATTGCTTTGTAAAGAGGAGACTGATGAAGGAAATTATCACCAAGGCATTTTTATGCATTTGCGAAGGCTATACTTTGTGTCTGGGATACTGCAGGTGCTCAGAGAATGGGACAAATTGCAGTTATTATGAATTTCAGGAAAGCTGTGAATGCAGGAGTGTGAGTGAGGGAAGGTGGAGTGGGTGGTCAAAACCTCATGCCTGTGAAGGTTTTGCTCCTTTCACCAGGCACCCAGCAGGTCCTTAATGAGTGCCTGTTGAATGCTCTAGAAACAGGGCCCAACTGCACGCCCTCCTCCTACAGGCCGCCCACCAAGGGACGGTCCGGCCTCCTGGCCTCCCCCCCACCCTCCTGCCCCACCCCTACGCCGCCCTTACAAGATGTCCTCACGGATGGCGGTGCCATGGTTGAGGTTGTGGAAGCGGACGGAGACGCGGTCCCTGAGAATGAAGGAGCACCTGTTCTCCTTTTTGTAGGCGCTGAAGCACTTCTTGAAGTCCTCATAGGTCTTGAAGCAGCTGCCCAGCTCCATGGCTGCCCCCTCAGCCCACGCCAGGGGATGGCCCTAGGATCGATACCAGGGGTCAGAGGTCACACTATGAGGGACTGCAGGCTGGCGTGGACCCAGAATGCTTTCAAGGTCGGCGCCAATTGGGTGGCCAGCTACGGAGCTCAGGAGGAACCCTAGGCCTGAGCGGGGAAAACGGGCTGGGGGCGTCTTTGCTCTCCGACAGAGCGGGAAATGACGCCCATCCCTCTTTATTGAGCCTGTGGGACCCGCCCCTCACGGTCACACCCAATCACACACGGGGTTCCCAGATGGGCACTCATTTTCTCCAATAGCTAGAGAACGCTAGCCACGCACCCGCAGACTGACAGGAGCACTGCAAATCATGATTTGTATCCCTTATTCCCAGGGCTTTCAGACTTCCGGTGTCTAGAGCGCTCTGCGGGAATCTGCGAGTTCTGCGCGCGTCTCCGCGCGTCCGAGTCAGCGCGGTGTCTCGGGTCGGCAGCAAGGGATCGACATGTCGTCCCCGCAGGCCCCGGAGGATGATCAGGGCGGCGGCGATCCCCCCGGGGGCCTCCGCAGCGTCCTGGTCACCAGCGTGCTCAGCCTAGAGCCGCTGGACGAAGATCTCTTCAGGTAGCCTGCCACATCTGGCCTGCATCCCGCATTGGGACACAGGCTCCTGATCTCGACTGCCGCTACCCTGTAGCCTTCTGCTCATAGTCCCCTGGAAGAGGGTGGGCACTGCGCGGGATGCAGGCTCTGCCGCCGTTCGGAGAGAACTTGTTCGTGACAGAGCTGCGGTCGCTGCCCGGCTTACTTCCTCGCCACGCCGGGTCTGCGCAGCCCCACCCCTAGGAGGCCCAGGCTGTCTGGGCAAATAAAGTGGCGACCTGAGATATCCTTCTCAGCACCTTCCTGTGTCTCTGGGAACCAGCCTAAAGAGGGCTGCGATTAATCCAAGGGCACACAGCTAATCAGGTTTAAAATTTATCCTCAGCTCCTTTCATACTCACTATTCCTTTACTCTTACATACCCCATCCCCATCACTACTTGTTGAGGTGTGATAGCTCCGTACTCAATCAGGCCTGAGCCATTTTCATTTCCCATGCCACTTAAATTCTTGATTGCAGCTGGAGATTTAACAGTTTGCGCCTCCAAGGCTTCTACTGCCTTATTGGGAGCTATTTTGGGTGTTAACTTCTCTTCCTTCTACTTAAGGAATCACAGATAACTTCCTAGAGGGCTATTTACAAGGCATTATATAAAAATGCTAAGCTTGGGTTGGGTCTTGGAAAGCCAGAGACCCAAACCCTTTACTAGGTTCATGTACTCGGCCATCCCTTTTCACCTCTGGGCTCTCAGTTTTCTCATCTGCACACTGAAGGGGTTAAACTTGAAGTCTGAGGGCCCTTTGAGCTCTAAATCTAGTTCTTGGGTGTCAAAGTTGAGGGGTGTAAGTGGCAGGCCTTGATACAGTCCACCCTAGCTCTTGGGGTTCATCTTAATCCACTCAAGGCCTTGAGAGGCTTCTGCCTTACCCTGGTATGGGCAGTGGAAGAAATACTAGACTGGGGGTCCCAAAGACCTAGATACTGTTAAGGATTAGCAATATTTAAGCTGTGTGTCCTTGCTAAAGTCACCTTCCCTCTCTGATTCCTGTTCTCTTAGTATAAAATATGGGGGTTGGTTCCTTAAACCAAAGTCCATAGAAAGCTTATGCAATCCCAAAAGCCTTGAAGATGTATGCTGTAGTGTAGAATGATGTAAGAATACTTGTCTGGGGAAAGGGACCAGGGCTTTCACCAGATTCTCAAAAGGATCCCAAACTCCAATAAAGTTAAGAGATCTGCACTAGAAGCTCATTAATTGTTGTAGGATTCCACCCAACCTAGAAGTCTTTCCTGCTTTCCGTTTCTCCCCACAGAGGAAGGCATTACTGGATACCTACAACCAAGCGGCTGTTTGGGGGTCAGATCATGGGACAGGCCCTGGTGGCTGCAGCCAAGTCTGTGAGTGAAGACGTTCAAGTGCACTCCCTGCACTGCTATTTTGTAGGGGCAGGTAAGCCACCCCCTCCCTGCCCCCAACCCAGCCCTGGTGGCCCAGCAGCCACTTCTTCCTGGCCTTGGGGGGCTGACTTAGGAGAGAGAGGAAGCAGTGGGGGAGGGAGAGAGTTAGTTGATCTCCACCCACCCGGGAGCCTGGAGAGGAACAAAGCCTGGGTGGGACCAAGAAGAGCCTTAGACCTGACACCTAGGTGCTTGTTATCTGGCCCCGAAAGACACAACACTGGCTTAACTGCTACTCATGGGTCTTTTGTTCTTCATTCTTTACACACCTTCTTGTGCCAAATACTTTGCTGGAATCCTCACAGCAGTACTGGAACCTTTGCTAGGAGTTCGGAGGTAGGCAACTTGGATTGAAGAAGGGAGAGCACCAGCCTGGGAATCAAGAGACAATGGGTCTAGTTTTAGTACTAATTGGCCATGCCACCTTGAGCGAGGTTACTCCCCTCCCTGAGGCTTGGTTTGTTCATCACATCTGAAAAATGGAGGAGGGTGGTAGGACTAGGTGTTTTATCGAGAAGATCTCTACAGTTGCTTGCAGCTTAAAGGAGCAAGAGAATAATCTTTTAGAACCCATGCTCTCTTTTGAGAAACAAAAATCTCACTTGCTTTCCCTCCCTTCCCCTCACTCCTAAGGCAGATGTCCCCAATTTTAAGAGTCATTGTTTTCTTTTAATTTTATTTTTGTTTAAAATATTACAGATGTCCCTTTTTCTCCCCAGTGACCCATTCCACCCTGTCCCATCCGTCTCCCCAGTCCCTCTCCCCACCATTGTCCATGTCCTTGGGTTGTGCGTATATGTCTTCTTCATAGTCCCATCAGCTGAGAACATATGGAACTTAACAATATGCGATTCATATTATGAAAACAATAGTGGGGTTTTCCCCTTCATTTTACAAATATAAAATAGTTATAGTAGTAAATATATATACTTTTTCATAGTACATCCTCATGCCCACTCCCCATCCTTTTATTTCTGTACTCTCCCTGACAGTCATTGCTATGAAGTATTTGAATACTTACCCTACATTCTTACATTTAGGCCAATTGGGAGCAAAAGTGTCCTCTATTTCTTCAATTTGGTTGCAAACTCCAAAAGTGCTGGCCTTTTGATATTGTAATCCTTCTAGCATAGTGAGATAATTTTGTGTTTTGTTTTGTTTTGTTTTGTTTTGAGGGGGTGGGGGCATTACTTTGTCGGGTTTTTTTTTTTTTTTTAATATATTTTTATTTCGGGGGAGGAAGGGAGAAAGAGAGAGAGATAGAAAAATCAGTGATAAGAGAGAGCCATTGGTCGTTTGCCTCCTGCATGCCCCTTGCTGGGGATCTAGCCCACAACCCGGGCATGTGCTGTTACCAGGAATCAAACTGGGACCTCCTGGATCATACATAGGTCGATGCTCAACTGCTGAGCCACGCTGGCCACCGGCTGGGCTTGTCGGTTTCTTCATTCTAAAAGAATTCTGAGTCTTTGCAGCTAATGTATCTAGAGCAGAACCTGGCACGTTGCTGGTTTTCCATAAATAACATTATTTTTTGATGATGAGCTTATGGGAACAATTAAAATTTGCATGATACAGAACACAGCGAAATATGTTATCTTGTTTAGTCCTCAAAGTAAACACAAGGGGTGGGGATTCCTGCCATCATTCTCTAAGGAAACTGGGACTCAGGGAGGTTAGGTAACCAGCTCTTGAAGTGCTTAAGGTGGCAGAGCGAAGATTTGAACCTGAATTTGTGTGACTCCAAGCTCCACACTCTTCCCTCCTGTGATTTTCTGTTTTACTCTTGGGAGATAATTCCAAACCATGGGAGAGCTGCCAGGGTGTCCATCCCAGGTTCTGGGGGAAGGATCATCTTCTTTGGAAATTCTCCATCCAGGGACAGCATGAAATGAACCATGCCCATGTTAGTGTTTCAAAATAATCATCAATTTGTTATGTCTTCAGTACAGCTTAACATAATTGGGAGCTATTTTAGGACTATTACAATAGAAGTCAAGGGGAGGAGGCTAGTAGTAAAGGGGATTTGGGGGAATGATTATGTGAAAAACAAAACAAAACAAGGCTAAGGCATATTGTTGCAGTTTTATACAAAAGTTTAGTTCTGAGCTTCCTGGCACTAGGGTAGAAAGGGAAGCTCTCTTACTACTGTTAACCTAAAAATAAAAAGGCCTTTCAAAGTAAGAGGCAACAAGCATTTCTTTGAGATCAAAAGAAAAGCTATTCCAGAAGTACTGATTGAGGCAGAAGCCCAAATAGTGTTCCAATTAGGAGACAAAGGCAAGGGGAATTGATAAGAAAGGGAAGGGGAACAGTTATATCAATAGAAGGAAGGCATTCCTATTGGTGCAGGTAACATAGTAATGTTAATTCTAAACGTTTTTAATTTTCTGTCCAGTAGTCCTCAGTCTGGTAGTCATCGTCTCTGCTTTCTTGTTATATTTGCAAACAGTTTATTGGGGCACGAGATTGCTTTAGGCCAAGTCCAAAGGTTATTTTGCCCTGTTTCAACATTCCAGAGCTTTGGGACATATGAAGTGCAAGGTAGTTCCCCTGGGATGGCAGCTCCAGCCTCATTTTAAAGCATCTCCATTTTTATTTTTACTTTTTGACACCAATTTGTAATGTGACCCTCTCCTAGGTACATTAAATATTATAACCAATGATGATGTTCCAATGATGTGTGTGTGTGTGTGTGTGTGTGTGTGTGTGTATGATGTTAATCCTCACCCAAGTATATATTTTTTTCATTGATTTACAGAGAAAATGGAAGTGAGGGGGGAGGAAGGAGGGAGAGAGAGAGAGACAGACAGACAGACAGACATCAACTGGTTGCCTCCTGCACCCATTCTGACTTGGGCCAGGGATCGAACCCACAACCCTTGGGTCTGTGGGCTGATGCTCTAACTACTGAGCCAAACCAGCCAGGGCTCCAATGATATTTTTAATTAAAAGATGCTGGGGAGGGGTGTTGGTCCTTGGCCATTTATCGTATCAATTCTTTTTCTAAAAGCCCAGGTTAGAATGTTAGTTTTGTTTGTGTTTTTGTTTTGTTAAAAGTATTTCTCTAGAGAAGTAGAAGGATGTAGTATGGAAGTCACTGATGTGGTATAGGTTGAGAGCTTGGAGAATCTAGAGTAGGAGTCAGCAAACATTCTGGGCCAGATAGTAAATATTTTAGGTTATGCCAGCAAAAGCAACAATAGATAGGTATACACAAATGGGCTTGGCTGTATTCCAGAAAATGTTACTTATGGCATCAGTTTCTTCATCCATACAATGGGAATAAGACCCACTCTGCATAGTGATTGTGAGACCAACCTGAGAAAAGATACCTTAGTATCTAATGCTGCCTGGAAGCCAGCACTCACTCCATAGTCATTAGCTCCCTTCCTTCAATATACTACTCCAGAGCCTACCAGCTCTGTTCCAGCAAAAATTTCCAAGAATAGGTCTGGAACTCATTCATACTGAAAGGTAAATCACTCACTAGTAACTAAAAGTACTGCATTAGCTCAAGGATTGGATGAAAGCTATTTATTATTTTTATTTTTATTGTAAGTTCATTGGTAGGGGAGTGAGAATTCCTTTCTAGCCCTGAAATTAGACTGCGCATGTAGCTATCTCCTGTGTCAGGACTCTTGGGAAACCCTTCTCAAAGGCCTTTGACCGTGAGGTGTCCCCATTCTGATAGCAGGGCCCCTTTGGCAATGCCAGATATCAGACCACTGGCAAACCAGCTGCGCTTCAGAGCTCCACAATGATGCTTATTACTGTTGAATGAGCCCGTGGTACCTGGTTGGCTCCCCATTTGAATTGGGGTGGAAGAAGCAGCTCTTCTCTAGACCTGCTTCTTTCAAGATGTCTAGTTGCCTAGTTGTCAGGACTGTCCAAGGTCAGGGTTCTCCAAGGTTGGCCTGGCTCAGTGAGACAGTAGAGGACTTCAGGGACTCCAGGGAGACTCTCTCCCCCTAAAAGCCCCCCTGATCTGCTGTTTGAGAGCTGATAGTGAAGGCCTGAAGAAGGGCCAAGTGACTGCCATTTGCATCAAGGATGTAGTAACTGACTGACAGCAGGCTTTTCCTGAGAGAGAATGGATATTCAAACAGACAATGGCCAGACCATATGTAAAAATAGAGTTCGGATCCACAATTCGGTATCAACAAGCACAGGAAGCAAACCTACTGTCTATATGTCAGGTTTGTAGGAAGTCAGACCACCATTTCTAGCAACCAGCTCAGGAAGCCAAACCACAGTGACTGTCATATCAGCCCCAAACAGCCAGGACTTCATTAATAACTGACAGTTTCCCTAATTTTTTTTTTTTAATCCTCACCAGAGAATATTTTTTTTCATTGCTTTTCAGAGAAAGCGGAAGGAGGGGAGAGAAAGAGAGAAGAGAGAGAAACATCAATGTGAGAGAGAGAGAGAGAAACATCAATGTGAGAGAGACACATTGATTGATTGCCTCCTGCACTCACCCTGACCAGGGCCAGGGATCAAGCCTGCAACCAAGGTACATGCCCTTGGCTGGAATTGAACCCTGGACGCTTCAGTCCACGGTCCAACGCTCTATCCACTGAGCCAAACCAGCTAGGGCCAGTTTCCCTAATTTTTGCCTATCCTTCCAACTTAGGACCAACTGCAGAAAGCCAGTCATGCACCCCTAACCAATCGCATAGGTGCCCTGCTGCTAGTTAGCCTGCCTACAGTTTCCCCGTGCCAACAGCCTCCAATCAGGGGATACCGTTTTTCATAAGAAAGCTTTCTCACTCCTCTGCCTGTTTGAGTCTCTGCCAAACATAAGTGATGGTGGCTGACTCCTTTACGATACTAAACTCTGAATAAATAGCCTTTGCTTGTTCAAGGAAGAAGGGAAGGAAAGGAAAAGAAGAAAAATAACAAAAAAGTAAACAGGTAGAAGGCCAGATTTGCTGACCCTGATGTAGAAAAATGGTACTGGACTCATGACAAGATCCCAGTCACAGATGGAACAAGACAAAAGCTGGGAGTGTTTATTATATTTAACAAACACTTATAGAGCACTTACTGTGTGCCAGATATTATTCTAACCACTTTACAGTTATGAACTCACTCATTAAAATCCTGAGAGGTATGAACACTATGATGATCCTCATTTTGTAGATGGGTAAACTACTCAGAGTAGTTAAGTAACTTTCCCAAGTCACAGCTAATGAGCTGGTATTTGAATGAGGGAATCTGTGAATGTCCCTTCTATTCTGTGCTGTTGAGAAAGAAGAGTTCCACTTGCACTGGGAGCATCTCCATGACAGGGCTTGGTGTTCTATCAGTACCTGCAGTACATGGGCCTTAGCCTGCCTCAGTAGCTGCCAAGCAGAAAAGGAATGGAGAACGAGTAGCAGAGGTACCTGTCCAGCCATTGTGATGGCAGGGCCTGTGGGGCTCACTTGGGCTCACCGTGTCCCTTGTGCCCCCTGCAGGAGACCCGAAGGTGCCAGTTTTGTACCAGGTAGAGCGGACGCGAACAGGGGCAAGCTTCTCGGTGCGTTCTGTGAAGGCTGTGCAGCATGGCAGGCCCATCTTCATCTGTCAGGCCTCCTTCCAGCAGGCCCAGCCCAGCCCCATACAGCACCAGTTCTCCATGCCCACTGTCCCCCCACCGGAAGAGCTGCTTGACTACGAGACCCTCATTGACCAGTATTTAAGGTGAGATACCTGGAGGCTCCAGGACAATGTTCAGACTGCAGTTGCCTCCCGTTCATGGGTCATGGAATCCTTTAATGCAGGGGTGGGGAACGTCCAGCTCAAGAGCCGTATAATGGCCCGTGAAATCATTTGGTCTGGCCCTGCCAAGGCAACTGCAGGTGGGATGCGAAATTCAAATAAATCTAGCCTTTTTCATAGCTAATTTTTAAGTTGATGATTTTGTATCGCCCTCGAACTACTTTATAAATATCCAAATGGCCATTAGCAGAAAAAAGGTTCCCCACCCTTGCTTTAGTGCATCTTGACCGTTTAAAAATATAGACTAGAAAAGAAGGTACTGGAGTGTACTGTATGTAGTAAGTAAGGATAAGAATCCTTTTGTAATAGTTTAGTTTCAGTTGTGTGTGTGGGCATGTATAAGTGTACTGGGTCATGATGTAAAATGCAGGGCTTATGATTCAGCCAGTGCAGGTACAGTATAGTTTTACTGGTTGTTAAAATATCAAAATAATTCTATAACTACTTGGTAAATACCTCCCCAGTCCCTGAGTGACAGCCCTCCACCCTTCAAGGTCACATGATCCAGCCGTCTAAGAGTTAATGCCTGGCAGGGTGAAGGTTCCTGCTGCCTTTGCCTTAGTGTGTGTTAAATATTTGAAATGTCACCTGGTAAAACATATTTCTTACTTGGATCACAGTTGATAAAGTTGGGAAAATGCTGCGGCAAGGGAAAGAGCTCTGGGCTCCAACACAGGACAGACACATGGATTTTGGCCAGGGCTGTCCTCTATTAGTACCCATTTGCTCTGTGACTTTGCCCAGTTCCCCAGCCTCTCAGAACCCTGCTTCATCTAAAAAATGTTTGTTTCTGCCGTGCCCTACTTCACAGCTGTATCGGAGGAGAATGTCTTTGTCTTGTGCTGCATGCTGGGGAGGCAGCAAGGTGTGATGGGGCAGATGGGGGTTTGAACCTGGGAGAAGTCTAGGTTCAAATCTAGACTCTGTCTCTGCTAGCTGTGCAAGTTTGGGCAAGTTGCTTTCCCACTCTGAGGCTGTGCCCTCACAGTTGCAACATGGTGTTAATCATAATTCCTACCTTATAAGGCTGCTGTGAGGATTAAGTGAGGTAAGAAATAATAAGGCACTTAGTGAGTGTAGCAAATTGTAGTTATACACTGTTGACTGAGAGGAATAAGCTCGGAGCCTGGTTTGTGGTCCGAGCTCAAAAATGTTTGCTGAAATGAAAGGAGGACATTGTTCTTAAAGGTCCCTAAATCTAGAGCTGTGCTGTCCAATAAGGAAGCCACTAGCCACATAGGATTAAATTAACCATCATTAGATAGAATAATAGTTCTGTTCCTCAGTCACACTAACCACATTTCAAGCACTCACTAGCTACATGTGGCTAGTGGTCCCACAGTGGTCAGTGCAGACACAGAACATTCCATCAACCCTGAAGGTCCTTTGGACAGTGCTTGAGATAGGGATGCAAACAGAAATCCCAGTGCGCACTAGGGGTGGTTGTTACGGTGGTGAAGGGGCTTCCCTGGAAATGGGCTCTTCTCCCAGGGGACACAGTGTTCCCAATTGCTTAGGGTTAGGTAACTCAGCCTGGTTCCTGAGTGTTTGGAATAGTGAAGCGGTTAAGAATGTGAACCATAGAGCCAGGCTGCCTGGGTCCAAACCCTGCCTTTACTTCCTGAGTGAGCTTCTTGGATTCTGTGCTTATTTCACGTATCACTGGGGAGCGACACTGCAGCTGTCTCACAGGGTTGTGAGGAATGGGTCAATGTGGGTGAAATGCTTAGAACGGTGCGTATTGGAGGTGCTCCTCACGGCTATGATGTGTTGGCCCAAATGCATCATCTCATCTTCTCCACAATGTTTATTATCAGGTAGGTTACTGTCATTATCCACATTTTGCAGATGGGAAAATAGGCTGAGAGATTACTAACTTGCACAAGGCCACATGGCTCATAAGAGGCAAAGAACGGCTTCAGACACTTGATGCTCCTGCCTGCCAGAGGAGAGGGGAACTTTCAGGCTAAGTCTGCACTCCCTCTGGAGGAATGAGGGAGGTCAGAAGAAGCAGTTCAGAAGACAGGTTCCCCCCTCCCTGGGTCTCCCCCAGTCCCTCTTCCCTTTATTTTCAGGGACCCTAACCTCCAAGAGAAGTACCGAGTGGGCCTGAACCGAATTGCTGCCCAGGATGTGCCCATTGAGATCAAGCTGGTAAATCCACCCACCCTGAACCAGCTGCAGAACATGGTGCCCAAACAGATGTTCTGGGTGCGAGCGCGGGGCCATATTGGTAAGAGGACCCCCTGAGCTGAAAGAAAACATTCTCTAGGGGTCTAGGCCTGCACCTCATTTGCCCTGTGTGGCCTTGGACGTGTTACTTCCCCTCTCTGGGTCTGTTTCCTCATCCCCGTGATGGGGAAGTTGGCTCAGCTTCTCCCCAGGGCCCTACCAGGCCTTTGCATGGGGAGAATAGGAGGTGACTGTAATCCTAACATAGGCCCTTTCTGGGGAAGGCAGGCACCTTGTTGAGATTCTTCTCCAGGTCCACTGCTAACCATAAGGTGCCTGTGTGGGAGATTTGGGGAGTGAAGGCTCCATCCCCGCCTCCCTCTCCCCCATCACACATACACCCTGGGCCATGTTCCCTTGTGCAGTGAACAGTCTGCATGTCTGTGCACGGCAGCCCCTTTCTCCCCCACCTCCCTGCAGGTCCTGAGCTATAAAGGCCAGAAGCTCAGGGCTGATGGGGTCGGGACCTATTTCAGGGGAGGGCGACATGAAGATGCACTGCTGTGTGGCTGCCTATATCTCGGACTATGCCTTCCTGGGCACAGCACTGCTGCCCCACCACTGGAAGCATAAGGTGCACTTCATGGTCTCCTTGGACCACTCCATGTGGTTCCACGCCCCCTTCCGAGCTGACCACTGGATGCTCTATGAGTGCGAGAGCCCCTGGGCTGGTGAGTGTGGGGCCACATGGGACAAGGGCACTTGGGGTGGCAGGGAGCCTGTGTTCTTGGGTCATGCTGTTCCCCACCTACATCCTATGAGGCACTGCACAGGTCACTTCCTCTTCTGCCCCACCAGGTTTTGGCATCCTTGTCATCAAAATGACAAGGTGAGGCTAGAGGACGGGACATGTGCTTAGCTCTTAATTTCTGTAATATGTTGGGAATATGATTCACTTTATCTCAGAGACCCCTGTTCTAGTCCTAGAACCACTTTAGATTCTCTGTATGATCCTGGGCAAGTCTCATCTCCTCCCTGAGCCTCAGTTTCTCCACTTAAGTAAATAGTTGTATTGGAGTAGTAGTATTCAAACCTGGTGGCCCATCAGACCACTACTTGGGGGAGCTTTTTCAAAATAGATTCTAAGATTCTGACTCTGCAGGTCTTGGAAGAGGTCCAGGAAACTATTTTTAAGAAGCTCCCTACGTGATTCTGCCAAATAACCTGGTTGGGGCTCAGGACACTCAACAGTTTCTAAGGGCCCCTCTACTTGGACACTCCTCATCAGAGACGTACAGAAACCCAGACTTGTTCATCAGTGTCTAGTGTCAGAGCCTTGGGTTCCTTTCCAAGAAGTACTTTTTAAATGAAGAATGCTTTGTAAAACAGGGACAAAAGTTAAGGGACTCTTTATAATCAGGGAAGAGGGACTGTCAAGTACAATAGCATCACAACACAGGATCAATAACCTTGAAGTTAGGATACTTGGGTTTGGGTTTAGCCTGATTCTTAAGGCCAAGTTCCTGAGCCTCTCTTAACTTCAGGCTCATCATCTGGAAAAGGGGACAAGCCCTGCTTCACTTGGCTGCTGTGAGGACTAAGTGAGCTGTGTACTACGTGGAAGGGAAACCACCAGCTCCCTTCATGAACACCAAACTCAGGCCCAAGGCTAGCAAGGGAGAGAAAATCTGCAGGTGGGGAGGGAGGGA